CTATTCCTGTCAACGATACCAGCCATGCGATACTTGTTCTGCGATACCTACTATTCGATACTTGCAATGTATGTTTTACAAAAACTAACCTTTGGTGCTTTTATCGCGATACTCGTCCTTTAATAAATTGCCAACGATACCTGGTCTGTGAAACCTGTCCACTAATTCCTGTCTCACGATACATGCACCACGATATCCTATCTACGATACCTTATCAGTTACACCCGCCCAAGATAATGTTCTGTTATACTTACCTCACGATACCCGCCACAACGATACCTGCTCTGCGATACCTGCTCTGCGATACCTGACCTATTACACCCGCCCAAGATAATATCCTGCTATACTTACCTCACGATACCTGCCACAACGATACGTGTCCCCGCGATACCTGCTGTGCGATACCTGTCCAGGTATAACCTGCCCAGTGATATCAGCGTCATGCGGTGGGGTCGCCCAGTGCCTGGTCCATGTTGACGTCAATTTAAAGTCTGCAGGTCGGCTGCTGGTGTTTAAACGATTAGCCGTACCCACTTCATACTGTTACCCGTTTGACTCAATTTAGGGCTAGGGTTAGCTTTCGGGTTAGGGGGGTCAAAGTTAGTATTCGGTTTTGCAATGTTTCTTTCAGATAGTTCTCTTGTTTTCTCCTTGGTTTGTGGGCACATGAAAGTTAGTTTCGGTAAAGGGGGGGGGGGGGGGGGGGGTGACCGCCCTCAAAATTTCCGGGGGTGTGGGGGGGAAGACACACATCACTGGTTAAAAAATATTTATTATATAAATTATATAATTTTTCTATTTTGCACTGGAGGGGGGGGGGCGATGAACGTGCTCGGTTTGGTTGGGGGGGGGGGGGGCACTGGTTAAAAAATTGTTATATAAATTATAAGTTTTCTATTTCGTCCAAGGGGGTGGGGGTGGTGGGGGAATATTGGGGGGGGGGGGGTGTAGACGTGCTCTGGAGGGAGGGGTGGGGTTGTGACTGAAAGAAACTCATCGGTTAAGGGTGAAGGTTATTGTTCTAGATAGGCATTGGGTTAATGTAAGTTAGGCGATGGGGTGTTTAATAAAGGGTTGGCAAAATCTGGGTTGTCTGAATATTTGGTAGTTCGCCAATGAAGAAAACTTCTTCAAGATTCAGCTATAATAATCAAGGAGCCTCATTTTGCAAAAATATAAATCAAAGTATTTTAGATTGATATCCACCTAACTGCTTAAAACTAAAATATGCTGTCTTCTATTTAAAAGTGTAAAAATAAATAAGACAGAGTGAAAATGTTAAACTTTAAAAATAAAATTAAGAGTTCCACTCGTTTTTAAATATTTATTTGTAATTCAATTTTACTCTTACATTTTTTTTTTAAACTTTCTGAAAATAAAAATTGCCAAAAGATTTTATTAGAGATCATCTTAGAATGCCCTTGTTGCTAAAAAAACCCCAGTCCAATCTATCTTCACTAGTGCTTTATTTAAACATACACAGCGATCATGTTTCAGCTAATCAAAAAGTTGAATTTCGTTTTACGAAACATTTTAGGGCAGATTTTTTTTTGAAACAATATTTCAAACTGTTAAAATGTTTAAACCTTGTCTAGAAAACCAGGTAAAAAGAAGCCGTTAGACAATAGTGTGTGTGTTGGAAGGGGAGGGGTTACTTGGGATGAGAAGAGGGGAGTTCGGGGGTTGGGGAGGGGGGTCACACCAGGTAAGGGTATATTTAATAAAATATGGGGGAAGTGTTTTTCATCCGTTGGTGGCAGGTTAATACGAGCAGAAAATCTGGCACGCTGAGCGAGACACATAGACCAAATTTACCGCGACATCGGGCAAGGTTTTGTTTTGTGTTCAAACTTTTACAGCCTGGCGTCAGTGGCGTAGGTAGGGGAGGTGTTAGGGGGAGCTAGAACCCCTCGCCCATGAACTGCAAGATAAAAGTTGTCTTATGTTAGATGAGTTGACGTGAATTTAAGCATACCATTTCAGCGTAGTCCATGAAAACCATAATTTTCAGTTTTAAAAATGAATATGGAATATGCCTATATATATATATATATATATATATATATATATATATATATATATATATATATATATATATATCTATATATATATATATATATATATATATATATATATATATATATATATATATATATAAACATACCTTTTTCCTTATTACACATACATATATTTACCAACATATAATACAAAACTAATAATCGTTTTAAATGTATAGACGTGCATCTCTGCATTAAATTCCACCAGAAAAACCTACATGTAGCCCATTCGTAAAGTCATTGCACCATTATCTTCATTATTTGCTATTTTTAGATTGAAAACTAAAACAAACAGCGGGAACTCCCGCAACATGCTGTAATTTGAGTGACAGTTAAAGATTGGCTAAAAAAAAAAGATGGGGCTGGTTTCAATTTTAGGTTTTATAGTCGTTTGGGGTTGTTGGCTTGGGAGAGGGAAAATTGGGTTAGGGAAAGGGAGGGTGGATTGGGAGGGATTTATTAGAAGGGTTGGATTAGGTGGGTTAAATTATGAGATTTAAATTTTGTGGGATTAGTATAGTTTGATAAAAAAAGTTTGAGTTAAGAGGTTTAGAGTAGGGTTTCTGGAGTTGGGGGTGGGGTGGATTAGGAGGTTATGGATAAGAGGTTTGGGGTAGGAGGTAATGGATAGGAGGTTTGGTGTAAGAAATTTTCTGGGGGTTTGGGTAGGAGGTCTGGGATAAGAGGTTAAAAGCCTAACCCAAGCTTAATCCAAGCCTAATCCAAGCCCAACCCTTGGCCTAACTCTAGCCTAACCCAAGCCTAACACAAGCCTAACCCAAGCCTAATCTTAGCCTAACCCAATCCTAACCCAAGCCTAACCTTAGCCTAACCCAAGCCTAACCTTAGCCTAACCCAAGCCTAACCCTAGCTTAACCCTAGCCTATCTCAAGCCTAACCCAAGCCTAACCTGACACTAGAGACGTGGTGAGTACATGATGATAAAATCATCAGAGACGAAAGTTAATATTAGAAAAACAAACTCACCCCAACGTCTTCAGCAGACCCGAGCCGCCGCCTAGCGCGCACTGGCTAGAATAAACCTGTATCTAGAATTAAACTCTGTCTAGAATTAAACCTCTGTCTAGAAAAAACCTGTATCTAGAATTAAACTCTGTCTAGAGTTAAACTCTGTCTAGAATAAACCTGTATTTAGAATTAAACTCTGTCTAGAATTAACCTCTGTCTAGAATAAACCTGTATCTAGAATTAAACTCTGTCTAGAATAAACCTGTATCTAAAATAAAACTGTGTCTAGAATTAAACTCTGTCTGGAACAAAACTGTATCTAGAATTAAACTCTTTCTAGAATAAAACTGTTTATAAATAAACTCCGTCTAGAAAAAAAAGTTGTATCTAAAATTAAACTGTCTAAAATAAAACTTTGTGGAGAATAAAACTCTAGAATAAAAATCTGCCTAGGATAAAACTCGATTGAGAGTTAATCTCTGTTTAGAATAAATCTGTGTAAAATAAATCTCTGTCTAGAATTAAAGTGTAAAAATAAAATCTCTTAACCTGTGGACCTATCAGTACATGTGTATACAGATAATCATTCAATAAACAGTAGGTGCATTCTGTAAACATGGGAAGTGGTGTATTCTGTTTGGTATCACTTTATGATTGTAATTAATATTAAGTATTAACAATAATTTGCGCATTAAATTGTGATTCCAGGTCAGCATAATGAAAGGCATATATATATACATATATATATATATATATATATATATATATATATATATATATATATATATATATATATATATATATATATATATATATATATATATATATATATATATATATATATATATATATATATATATATATATATATATATATATAATATAAGTATGTATATAAACTATTAAACATAAGGCAGTGGCATAGCCAGGATCGTCTCAAGGGGGGGGGGGGTTCCAATTTTTACCCGGGGACAAACTTTCGATTTGCACCCCCTCCCCCCTCAAACTTTCGATTTGCACCCCCCCCCCCCCCCTTCAAACTTTCGATTTGCACCCCCCCCTCAAACTTTCGATTTGCACACCCCCCTCATACTTTTTGCTATATACCGAGGGGTCTATGGGGGGGGGGGGTTATGACCCCCCCCTAACCCCCCATGCCTACGCCACTGACATAAGGTATACATTCGGTACCAATCCCATTGATAGCAATACCCAAACTTAGTCAAACCTTCCCTAAAGCCTAATGTGTCCGTATTAATTAATGACTTATGGTATAAAACGAAGGACCAATTATTGAAAGCTATTTCAAGTTTTTGTTTTTCCTCTGGCGTACAGTCATTGTCATTCATTGTACACATTGTTTAAACTTACTTTAGTGTAAAGGGTGGGGGTAGGAGGGTGTGTCTGTGTTTGTGTGTGCGTGTGTGTGGGGGGGGGTGTTGCTGAGGAATGCAATAGCCTAGACGATTTGCCGTACGTCTAGAGTCTAGAGCAGGGGTCTCCAAACTTTTCAGTCCGAGGGCCGCATTAACTATCAAATTTCAGTTCGGGGGCCAGTTTCTTCCAGGCATGTCTTTGATTTTTCTGGGCAAAGTTCCTCAGCCATCACCAACAAACGTTTTTTCCGTGGACAAAAAGAACTCCGCGGGCCGGATGAGAGGATCTCGCGGGCCGCATCCGGCCCGCGGGCCGTAGTTTGGAGACCCCTGGTCTAGAGCAAGAGTTGAACTCGGAAAAAAAAAACGTTGAGTGACGTGCTAAAGTCTAGCGTTTCAATACCAAAAAAAAAAATTCGCAGGCAGAAAAATTTAATTAAAACCTCGGGCTTGCTTTGCATTAAACGGCGAATTATTTCCATACTGAGTCGTTTTACATATTTCATTAAACTTTGACCCTAGACCTGAATAAAAAAACACATCTTACCACGCGGTGAGGGGGTGTCATGACTGGAAGAGTCCATGTTATCGCCCGCCACAGGGTAAGAAGATCCGGCTGATTAGGGGAGATAAGAGATAGGTATCTTGGAACTGATGGAGAGTTGCTCCCCTTGCTCCAACACTAAGAGCGTCATTCACGTAGCGTTAGGAAAAAAATGTTTTCAGAAAACAATTTGAAATAAAAATTATTTCATCTTTCGTTGAAGCTTTATAAAATCAACGTGTCAAATGTATTTCGTTCAGTGAAGATTTATGCTGGTGTGATTTAAAATGCAGCTTTTGGTGTAGAAGAACTTGTTGAATGGAAGACTGTATCAGCTTTTATAATTCATCTGTGCCTTGGGTTGGTTCATTTTATTTACATTTACTCTTTATTTGTTTATATGCATATATATATATATATATATATATATATATATATATATATATATATATATATATATATATATATATATATATATATATATATATATATATATAGTTTTGTATATTATGTAGGAGAATATATATGTATATATATATATATATATATATATATATATATATATATATATATATATATATATATATATATATATATATATGTACATGTAGGCCTACTAGTAATTATATATATATATATATATATATATATATATATATATATATATATATATATAATACTTTTACTATTAAGACTGTTAAAGACATACTCAGTATGCCTAAGAAATGCTGAAAAAATAAATTAGTTTTGATTTTAATTAAATTTATTACATAAATAGTTCCGAGAATTATGAGGATACTTTAATAAAATTTCGACATGCTTAATTTCGAACGTTTTACCACAGGCGCTACAGACTTTTTTTGATAGCCAAATTATATGGTAACGTCAATTTAGGTTTTTCTTTTTTTAAACAAGGATCTATTGTTCTTAATTCCGGTTAATGTTTAGAATAACCTTTTCTTTTCCTGTAGTATTATAAAATAATTCAGTTTGATTTGGTTTGTATGGATCATAACATAAGTACTTATTTTATTATAATATCAGTCCACTGACTCCGTATCCATACAGTGTTCGTACGTGGATTTAGTTTTAATGATGCTCGCTCGTGTGGGTATATCCTACTACTCATTCCATTTAGCTATGTAATTACTAAAAAAATTATCTATCAATACTACTGAAAGTAGATTAATAAATCACAGTTAACCTCGTGGAATATTTAGCCGTGCCATTAACTGAGCTGTATGTTTTCATCAACATAATTGAAATAGTTGATTCAATCAGTTGTTTTAATGTTATTTGTTCCTCAACAATTATCACAAAATTTAATAGACAAAAAAACCTGATATTGTCGAAATAATAGTCGGAGGTGCTCAAAATATATAAAGGCTTCTGTATATTATATATATATATATGGGATTAGGCATGGGTGGTGCTAATATCATTTCCATTCTAATGGTTTGAAGTGGCGGTTTAAAAAATCACTATGTGAAAACCATTGCATTCCTAAATCAAGGGAGACTACTTAAAAATAATTCAATTATGGACTGATAGTTGCATAATAATTTCAAAATCCGTCAAACATATACATTTTTATTAAAGGGGTAGATTGCAATATAAAATTGCATAAAAGAAATACGATTATATCTTATTTCTCGAAAGATATTATTTTAATATAATTTTTATTAAAAAAATTGGAAAGCATAAGTTTTTGAAAATATCTTTATTAAAATAAAACGTTTCTCCACTATTTTAATGAAATTCTTTATACATAATGGTAAATTTTGGATCCCTTGCAACTAAGGGACATTGGTTAAATTGTAAATTTAAAGTTCGCAAACGGTGACCGAATCCACGCGCCTTTAAAGTTATATAACCGATACATATATTATCAGAGTTATAAGCAATATATAGTATTTTCCCTTTATTGTTCTACAGCATCTATAAATAAAGCTGAAGGGTTTTTTTTTTCTTGTCATGAAACCACTCTCGCTTATGTTGTAGACGAATATCCTTAGAAACGACCACAACTTGAAAACGAGGCTGCACTCGCTCCCACCTGGTTGAATGCGAATGGTTGGTCGGGTTCAAGTTTATGAGCAACAAAAATAGCTCAGGGTAAAATGGCGACATTAAGGCTTGAATCTTGTCTGATTTCATTTGAGGTATGGGGAGAGATGTATGCGAGAGGAGCGAAGGTCGTGGGGTAGGGGGGGGGGGAGGGGTGTTTTGGAGTGGCAGGGAGGGAGATGTATATGTTGGAGAGAGGGTGTTTTGTTTCTAATGGTGAATAGAAGAAGGGAGCGTGATATAAGGGTGTTGGGTGGGGGGGGGGGTGTTGTCGACATTGAATGTAGCGTAAAGCCCCCTCCATTGATAGGAGGGGGTAGTGGTGTAGGGGCTTCATAATCATATCCACCCCCTCCCACATGGATCCACAAAATAAAAGTGTTTAACGTTAAGTAACAATTAATGTATTGGTGGTTATGTGGCGCATAACCAGTTGACACGTATACCTAATTGTGCTGGAGAGGATCCCTTCCAACACTAAAATTAAGAACGTAGAAGGGTCGTTGTACGTTGTGTGTTGTATAGACGTAAGAAATGTTGAGTAGGTGAGAGACGTGTATGGTGTTGATGGCGGTAAAATGGTTTGTTAATAGGCGCAGGGAGTTGGGACTTGCTTGGTGAATGGTGTTTAAAAAAAAATGGTCTTGATGTAGGTCGAATCACAATGTAGGTTAAAATAGATGTAGTTAATTGCCAAAAAAATGTAGAGGAATTTAGATGGGCTTTTCCATAAAAAATGTGTAGCAAGTTGTTGTCAATCAGACCTACTCATTGCTATAAGTTATTGATATCTTGAACAACAATGTCCATAAGTTGTCAATATCTTGACCAACAATGTCCATAAGTTGTTGATATCTTGACCAACACTGTCCATAAGTTGTTGATATCTTGACCAACACTGTCCATAAGTTGTCAATATCTTGACCAACACTGTCCATTTTTTTTTTAATACTTTTATTTGCAATTAAAACAAGTACATCAACATCAAATTTTTTAACATAATTTTGAACACCAAATGAAAACGAAAGGTTTTGCAAATGTACATAATGAATATTTACATGATGTCATGTATTTGATTATAAAAAATTGCAAAGGATGACAGTAAAAGGGGTGAAGGTCAAATGAAAGTGTCAAAAGTCTGGGTGGGGAGAGGAAAGGAAATTTTTCAGAGAGGGTCAATGGGACAGTGAAGCATTTTCTATGTAGGGAAACAACTTAAGTTGACTAGTTGAAAGGGTGTTGTAGTGGTCGCAATGAGATTTCAAAAGGTTGCTGTGTGAAAGATGAGGGGAAAGAGACAAGATTTAGAACTTTAAATAAGTTCTGGATATTGATGTTGAGGTGGGTGGTGGGGTCGTTGGAACAGTTAAAGGGATTGTGGGGTTATCATGTCTGAGGGTAAAGTGGATAGAGGGGGAGAGAGGAGGGGGTAGATTTTTTTTATTTTTTCACTGTCCATAAGTTGTCAATATCTTGACCAACACTGTCCATAAGTTGTTGATATCTTGACCAACACTGTCCATAAGACAACACACTTTACTGTATTGAATTGTTAGATAAAAACAATTGTTCTATTTAAAAAAAAATGAACTAAAAATGTACAAAAAAGTCAGTCTGATTGAAATACAGATTAACTTTAAAAAGAAAACAAAAAAAAAATACATAAAAAATAAACCCACTGAAAAAAAAAATCTTTATATTCTTAGGGTGTGATCACCTCCCTTGGTGTGCGATTACCTCCCCTTTATTTTTATTGCACAGAGTTACATCCCATAGATTCAATAAACATTGAGAGTATACCAATATTTAAACCAAGTGTGTAATATCGCTTTCTGGTATAATCTACGTCATCTAACCTAAACCATTACTCCTTACCGTGTCCTTACTTTCACAGTTTTATTTCTTTCGTTGAATTTAGTCATGTTTTTATAATTTCCACGGTTTTCAACTTAAATTGACGGTATAATTTCCATACGCATATTTTCAACATGAACGGGGTTATTCCCCCTGACAGCAGAACGAATGGTTTATATATATATTTTTTTCTAGGGTTTTTTTTTTAAATTGTTTTTTTTATGTGGCATGTAGGCTTACGCTAGCAGTCAAAACATTTATTTTACTTCGTGTTCTGATTCAAAGGTTTTATATCCTGTTGATTCGTGATATAAAATTGTGTTTACATGTGTGTACATTGCCGTGGTGTAATGCTAGATTCTTTTTATACTGGGATTGTGGGATTGTCCTGGCTACACAATTTAATAAATTAATACTGCGTGTTATATTTAACTTTGAATTGTTACTTACATTTTGTTATTTACATTTTGTAACTTTCATTTTGTTACTTTCATTTTTTTGTTAATTTCATTTTGTTAATTTCATTTTGTTAATTTCATTTTTTAACTTTCATTTTGTTACTTACATTGTGAAACTTTCATTTTGTTACTTACATTTTGTTACTTTCATTTTTTTACTTTCATTTTGTTACTTTCATTTAGACCTAGAACCTGCTAGTCTAGGTGTTTTTGGCCTAAGTTTCTTTCGGGCACCCTCTCCCCCCCCCCCTCCTCCCATGAAATAGAAAATAATATTAGATTTAAATAGATAATGTATATTCTAATCGGTTTCCATCTCCGCCCCCTCCCTTCCCCCCCCCCCCACCCCGTAAGTTTTATAGGCAGGGGTGGACTGGCCCACCGGTCTAGCGTGAAAAATCCCGGTGGGCCCCATGAAAAAATATCACAGTGGGCCCCCAGGAATGGTGCTGTATTAGTCCTATTGGTGTTATGATTTTTAAAAAAAATGTGTTGGTATTTCTCCATTTTATCACTTCCGTTCTTCACATTAAGGCTAGGATAGAAAACTTAGCACAATAAAAAAAATCCAATCGGGGGTTGGGGTCCCCTTTAAAAATGTCCCGGGTATCTTGGACACAGTCCACCCCTGATTCTAGGCCTAGTATACAGAACATTTTACATTTTCAACAAATATTCAATATTACTTTGTAACATTAGGTTCCGGTTCAGTCTTTGAACATTCACAGTAAAGTGGTGAAATGCCATTTAGAGATAGTTGGTTCATTGTAACAAATAATAATTATCTTCTTGATTGGATATGTGATGATATCTTCAAACAACACTCACATTATAACACATAGCTTATGTAACGTGTGTTTGTGTGGGTTGAGTGAAATTGTGAAAGGTGTGCGTGTGTGTGTATAATGTGAGTGTAATTGTTTAACGCGTGTGAAATGAATGTGTGTAATGTGTGTAATTCTGTAACACGTGTGTTTGTGTAAGATGTGTATTTTTAGGTATCATTTGTAATTGTATAACATGTGTGTAATGTCTGTAATTCGGTAACACACGTGTAAGTGTTTATGTAAGGTGTGTATGTATAATTTGTAATATTGTTTAACACGTGTGTGTGATATGCGTGTAAATGTATAAAAGTAAAGTTCCCTTTTCAAACCTAACGGTATATAGGGCAAGTGAAGTAGAGTTCACTTGTTTCTGTGACCTCGGCGTATGAAGAGATAGGGTGGTCAGCACTATGCCCAGCCGCCGTGTAAATGTATAAGGAGTGTTGAAAATTTGTGTAGATGGATAACATGCGTGTACGTGTGCAAGAAACATGTGTAAAACACGTTAGAATGAGCCGTGTAAAGGCACGTACACGCGTGTAAACTGTGTCACCGAATAAACCGTGTCACCGTGTCTGACACGCCAGCCTGTAAAACACGGTGCGTGTTGTGTGCGTGCTCGCATTACCTTATCACCGCTGACCAACCGGTGTGACGTCAATTATCTCTGACGAGATACCTCAGCTGCCTGTGTGATACGACGACAACCCGAAACATGTGCTGTACGCCTCAGCATCAAAGCCCTTATCTTTAAAGCCTAATAGTTTCCCCTTGCCCATGTATCTTTGACTGAGTTTTTTCCCTTGGATGGTGTGTCATTCTCCCACGCAGGAAGCATAAATACTTCTGTTTTTAAATAACTGTTCATATGTTTACTTTAAGGTTCGAATCCTACCGGAACGAAAGTTATTTTGTTTCTGCCTGACTAAATGTATTGGTAAACTTTTATATCTGACTGACCGAAAGTAAACTTTTGTATCTGACTGAAAAGAAGTAAACTTTTGTATCGAGAAGCATCCTGTATATTTGACTCTGACGGACTGGAAGTGAAAATTTATTTATGACTAACCGGAATTAAACTTGTGTAACTGACTGACCGTATTTAGACCTTTATTATGACCGACAAAATAAAACGTTTGAATCTGATTAACCGGACTTAAACTTTTGTATCTGACTAATCCGAAGTAACCTTTGTGTATCTGACTAGCCGAAAGTAAACTTTTTCACTGGCTGACCGTATGTTAACTTTTTATATGAATAAAACGCCGATATGTAAAAAGTTACCTAATGTATCCGACTAACCGGAAGTAACCTATCCGACTAACCCGAAAGTAACCTATTGTATTCGACTAACTGGAAGTAACCCTTTGTGTATCCGACTAACCGGAAGTAACATATTCGACTATCCGGAAGTAACCTCTATGTATCCGACTATCCGGAAGTAACCTTTGTGTATCCGACTAACTGAAAGTAACCTATCCGACTAACCGGAAGTAACATATTCGACTAACCGGAAATAACCTCTATGTATCCGACTATCCGGAAGTAACCTCTGTGTATCCGACTAACCGGAAGTAACCTATCCCACTAACCGGAACTAACCTATCCCACTAACCTGAAGTAACCAATTGTGTCCGACTAACCGGAAGTAACCTTTGTGTATCCGACTAACCGAAAGTAACCTATCTGACTAACCGGAAGTAACCTTTGTGTATCCGACTAACCAGAAGTAACCTATCCGACTAACCGGAAGTAACCTTTGTGTATCCGACTAACCAGAAGTAACCTATCCGACTAACCTGAAGTAACCTATCCGACTAACCGGAAGTAACCAATCCGACTAACCGGAAGTCACCTATCCGACTAACCGGAAGTAACCTATCCGACTAACCGGAAGTAACCTATCCGACTAACCGGAAGTAACCTTTGTGTATCCAACTAACCGGAAGTAACCTATCCGACTAACCGGAAGTAACCTCTGTGTATCCGACTAACCGAAAGTAACCTCTATGTATCCGACTAACCGGAAGTAACCTATCCGACTAACCGGAAATAACCTCTGTGTTTCCGACTAACCGGAAGTAACCTATCCAACTAACCGGAATTAACCTTTGTGTATCCCCAGTCTGGCCAGCGACGGATGGGGCTGTGTTGCGCCAACTGCAACACCACGACCACCACCCTGTGGAGGAGGAACGGCGAGGGCGAGCCCGTCTGCAACGCCTGTGGGTTGTACTACAAGCTGCATCAGGTAAGGCGTGGTCACTTGGTCAACTGGTCAACACCTGGCCAGGTGGTCAACTTATTTGTAAACATCTGCCAGTTGGTCAACTTTAAAAAAAAAAAACTTGGCCAGTTGGTCAACTTATTTTAAAATACCTGGCCAGTTGGTCAACTTATTTTAAAATACCTGGCCAGTTGGTCAACTTATTTTAAAATACCTGGCCAGTTGGTCAACTTATTTTAAAATACCTGGCCAGTTGGTCAACTTATTTTAAAATACCTGACCAGTTGGTCAACTTATTTTAAAATACCTGGCCAGTTGGTCAACTTATTTTAAAAAGCCTGGACAGTTGGTTAACGTTTACTTATTTAAAACATCTAGCCATTATTGTCAACTTATTTTAAAATACCTGGCCAGTTGGTAACTTTTAAAAAAATACCTGGCCAGTTGGTCAACTTATTTTAAAATACCTGGCCAGGTGGTCAACTTATGTAAAAATACCTAGCCAGTTGGTCAACTTATTTTAAAATACCTGGCCATCTGGTCCATTTATTTTAAAAAGCCTGGCCAGTTGGTTAATTTTTAGTTATTTAAAACATATAGCCATTTGGTCAATTTATTTTCAAACATCTCCCAGTTGGTGAACTTATTTTAAAATACCTGGCCAGTTGGTCAACTTATTTTAAAACACCTGGCCAGCTGGTCAACTTATTTTAAAACACCTGTCTAATAGGTCAACTTGTTTTGAAACTCCTGGCCAGTTAGTCAACTTATTTTAAAAAGCCTGGCCAATTGGGCAACTTGTTTGTATTTGTGTACAAGTATATATTTGTGTACAAGTATGTATTTGTGTACAAGTATGTATTTGTGTACAAATATGTATTTGCGTACAAATATGTATTTGCGTACAAGTATGTTAAAAAATCAAATAAGCGCATGGTTCAGTCTTAGCAGTAAGAAGTTAGCTTAATTTGTTTATTGATTAGTAGGCCTCACTTGTATTATTTACATCCTATTCTGACCGTTTAGATTTTTTTTTAAAAAATCTCAATACATTAACATGGTTTCCTTGCTACTAGTTAAAACCCTTACAAAGCCACATTAATCCAAAACGTTAATGAAAGTATAAGGTTCACGCGATGGTAGCGAAGAGAAATGAGTTTAACATGGTAATAACCTGAAGTCCAAAGTCCACGAGTTGTCCTTCTTGTTAGATCGTGTACATTTAGACCAGTGGTTCTTACATTTTTGGGTGTACTGAACCAACCAATTTCTGAAGGGCATTCACCGAACTCTCCGTAATACGAAAAATATAATATGATGACTTTTGAGTTTGGTTAGTCTGGAGCTCTGCCGAACCCCTGACACTGGCTCAACGAACCCCTGGGGTTCGATCGAACCCTGGTTAAGAATCACTGATTAAGACACAAGTTAAGATACATACGTACACACATCAGTACATAATTACACAACAGTATATAATTACACAAAATGCATACGCACATACACATAAAGACACATAGTAGCATACACAAGTACCAATTCAATATACACACTTGATCTTACACAACTCTCCAACTACACACACACAGACACACACAGACACACATTCACACATTATCCACTCCCACACCCGTACTCACACACCACCCACCACCACACCCACACTCAACACCCCACACACACACATTTCACAAAGACAACCAGACGCCTGTCTTCCTTCTCCGTACCGAATGATGTAAGCCTAACAAACATATTTCAACACCTTAAAATTACAAGGTTTCAAAGCTTATTATGCATCTCTTGGGACTATGTTATTCTAAGGCGGCAACTTTTACTCACATTACCACCCATACACGACTCACACACCAACACACACGCATTCATAAACACATACTGCTTATTTCCTAGTACAGAATAACATACGAACACACCTAACATACAATTCACTTATTTATTTAAAAAAAAAAAAAAAAAAAAGAAAAAAAAATTACCCACACTCAAATCTTTTACATCTTCCCTAGTTTGCTCGACAGAATTAATTCCCCTTCTCGTTTTCCTTTTGCCCAGCCTATGAAGAAAGCTGTAGAGAACGTTGATAATACCCGCATTGTCTCCCCTGAGTTAGCTTTTTACCAAATTCCTAGATTAATTAGCCATATGCCTCTATATCTATATAAATAAATAAGCCATGAGAATATGCAAAACAATCTTTTCCCTCACTTGCATGTGTTTTTCATTATATAAATTATTTTTTAAAATTATTTTTTTTTAAAAACATTGTCAAGATTCTGATAAAAAAAAAAGAAACGTCTCAAAATGTAAAAAAAAAAAAAGTTTAATAAGGAGTCTTGAGATTCAGGGGAGAATGTAAAACCCAACACGGGCAGAGATGAAAGGGGGGATAGGGAAAAAAATTGTTTTTTATACAGAACGTGGCGTGTTTTAGCTGGAGGTCTGTGTGAGCCGCTCCACAGACAACACCGCAGTCCACGTGTATGGGAACGATTCCTGGCATTGGTCAAGTCACGTGGTTTTATGTTGTTCTATAGAGGACACTGTTGGAAACGCTGAACACATACATTATATATATATATATATATATATATATATATATATATATATATATATATATATATATATATATATATATATATATATATATCGACATATCTATATGTCCATATTTATATATATATATATATATATATATATATATATATATATATATATATATATATATATATATATATATATATATATGGACATATACATATGTCCATATATATATATATATAAAGACTTTCTTTCTCCGGGGGAGGGCGCTTGAAATTTCCAGGAGGATGGGGGAAGGCGGACACTGGTAAAAGTATATATTTTCTGTATATATTATATTTCGGGAAGGGGGGGTAGACTTTTTTTTTAGTAGATAACGTGTAATCACGTAACAATGAAGCATAATTCGCTGACCTTTGTTTCATCATCAAGGGCTCCAACCATAAACCAATTAAAAAACCTGTTTAAATGGGCTAAAATAAGATCAAACGGAGAAGTTTATTTGAAAGTTTAGCGTAATTAGCTAAACTTGCAATATTGTGTACATATTCGCATATAAAATAACGGCTCATTCTCGTATACAGTTAAACGTCAATTGGTATTTTTTAAAATTCCACGTAAATTTAAAATTAAAATAATTCTAAAATATTTAAATAAAATTAACCTTTAACACATTCTTGTAAAATATTTGAAGTCGTTGAACCTAAACATTTTTTTAAAATTCATGCACATTTAGATCTAGAGTTTTTTCTTCTTAAAGAAAAACAACTTCAATTTTTTTGTTATTCGGAAATCTGCTCTCATTTCTCTAACTTAAAAAAAAAAAAACATTCTGGAATAAATGTAATTTCATAAGCGACACGTCTGCTAGACATACGATGCTGTGTTTAGCAGACGACTGCCTCAGGTGGTGGGGCTGAGGGGGTGGAGGTGGGGAAAGACGAGTCGCAGTTGAACTCACGGAGCTTGTGAGTGTTAAATCAACTAACACGGAAATGCTTCAGTCTGTAACTACACTAGTCCTTTCTGGCGGCGGAGAATATATACATACATTATATATATATATATATATATATATAGGCCTATATATATATATATATAAATATATATAATTGTCATAGTCCGTGGGGGTTATAATCCCCTAATATTCCAGTATACGCAACCTCATACATAAATTGTTATTAAAATGCATACGTATGATTCCATTTATTATAAATAGTTTTCTTTATTAAAGACAATTTCTTAAAAGTCAGTGGGGTAGTTCCATCAGGACATAGATGTTATGTCATATAAATAAAAAAAACCCAACTTTATATTATATATATATATATATATATATATATATATATATATATATATATATATATATATATATATATATATATATATATATATATATATATATATATATATATATATGTATATGTATATATATATATATATATATATATATATATATATATATATATATATATATATATATATATATATATATATATATATATGCATATATAAACGCCCCACTTAAAAAGCATATTTATACCACAACTTTTGATTTTTTGCGGTTGCCGATACCTGAATTGTGTTCACATCAGTTATTTCATTTTTGTGCTTTTTTTAAAGCTACTCCCTTACCTTACCCCCACCCCCCTCCCATTCTGTACACTCCACCACCCATTCTATTACCCCTACCTCTCCTGAACACTACCCCATTCCCTTTAGCGAATGTTCAACATAGTCTCACCAGAATATTCTTCTGTTGCAGGTTAACCGACCACTTTCCATGAAAAAAGACGGCATTCAAACAAGAAAGAGAAAACCAAAGTCTTCGGGGAAATCTAAAGGAGGATCTAAAGACCCACAACAACAGCAACAACAACAACAGCAAAGAGTTCAACAACAGCAGCGCCAACAACAACAACAGCAACAACAACAACAGCAACAACAGCAGCAGCAACGACAACAGCAGCCGCATAATCTATACTTAGACTACGGAGCCACGCATATGCAGCAGCAGAGCCAGCTACACCATCACCACCAGAGCCACCACCAGCAGCATCAATCCATGATGACTGGCGAGTCGGACATGGGCCAGGGTGACGTCACTTCCTACGCCCCTCCCCAGCACCTGCGGTCACATGACCTGCTGGATTTGTCACGCTCACAGAACGGTCACGGTGGGTTAACATACCATATTTAATTACACGCTGTGGTTTTTTTTTTCTCGGTTAGCCGTACCGCTGCATACAAATTACTAATCACGCCATTAAAGCTAAGTCTAGAAATAAAGCTCTTATTTACCTAGGGTTACTACAAGATATTTAGTTTATGATAATTGAATCTATCGGCAGAAAATAACCCATAGGGTTCGTGACAATCCTTATTAAACCATGCACATTACGCTCCCTTCCCCCAATCACCCTACCATTACACTCAAATTACTAATCACTCCATTAAAGCCAAGTCTCTAGAAATAAAGCCCTTCTATACCTATGGTTACTACTAGATATTTAGTTTATGATTATTGGCAGAAGATAACCCATAGGGGTCGTAGCAACCCTTATTAAACCCTGCACATTACGCCCCCTTTCCCCAATCACCGTAACACTACACTCAAATTAATAATCACGCCATTTAAGCTAAGTCTAGAAATAAAGCTCTTCTACACCCAGGATTACTGCTAGATATTTAATTTATGATTATTGTCATTATCGACAGAAGGTAGCCCATCGCCGATGTAGGCTATTACCCAGGGGCCGTCTATAAATCTATTTTAGATGATTTTCATCCTTTAACCCCCGTTTAGTCTCATTTCACGAAAAGACAAAAGAAATCTCAACCTCCCCCCCCCCCCCCCCATCGGAAATGATCTTGAAAGATCCATATTTTAGCACAGATTTTCATTAATTTTGTTCTAAAAATTAACTATAAAATCTATGATACATCGTATCTGGATTTACTTCCCAGAGTAACTTATGACAAAAGTTCGCCACTTTTCTTCTTTACTTTTCCCAACTAAGTGTGTGACAACCCCTAATAAATTACACACATTATGCCCCCTTACCCATTTACAGTATTCTACTATTTTGAAAAAAGCCATTTTTTGTTTTCTCCAATAAAAATTAAGCTGGATCAAGTTTGATCACTTCTTTAAAAAAAATTAAAAATTGCGAAATAACTGCTCAGTTAAAAAAAAATTTCAATCTGAAAAAGTGTGACTTTATACTTTGTTTACACCCTCCCCTTTTCCCTCGTCCATTGTCACTTAAGTCCGACCCATCCCCCCAAATGCTGTCGTTTACTACGACCTTTTAGGTGAAAAGTGTTAGATTATAGTGTTAGGATTAATTATTAGTAGATTTAAATAATCGTGCAGAGCAGAGGCGTAGCGACCCTTTCCGGCGCCCGGGGACAAACTTTCAATTTGGCGCCCCCCCCCCCCCCCTCGGGAGCAAATTTTCAATTTGCACCCCCCCCCCACCTCAAGCTTTCGATTTGCACCCCCCCCCCCACCTCAAACTTCAAAAATGCAGCTAAAATGACATTTTAATTTGTTTTTACAACCCATTTTGGCGCCCCCTAAGGTCGGCGCCCGGGGACATATGTACCCTCCTGCCCCCCCCCCCCCCCCATCGCTACGCCTATGGTGCAGAGCACGACGTGTCAATGACTGTCTGATGTTTCTAAACTTAATTACATATTATATTAAATTACATGTATTTTTGTCTAGCTAGACATAGGCAATAACCGCATAATTCTAACCAAACATTTTATCTACTTATATGTTAACATATACTTATATAATAATGTATTTTTTTAATTTAAAAATAACCTGTGGTATGTTTTCTATTATTTTCACAGTGACGGAGCTCAAACCCCTGCCCCCCTACTCCTCACTGTACCCGCTCAGCTCCCACACCAACGGAGGGGGCAACGACCCCGGGCAGCACAGCGGCCAACACCACAGCCACAACTCAGCCGTACTCGCCGCCCTGGCCTCCCCCTCGGTCACCAACCCCCCGGCCCTGCTGCCCATCTCCAGCCTGACCCCCGCGGGGCGCCACAACCTTGCCTCAGCCAGCCATCTTTCCCTGTCCAGCGCGGGGGCCAACCATCTTTCACACAGCATGCACGGGGCGCTGCTGACTGACACCGCCATGGGGCGCACGCTGGAGAGTATGATGATAAAGCAGGAGCAGGACGCCTTGTACGCGCCCTCCCCACCTAAAGCTGTACCCGTGATGACGTCAGACGGCTCCAACGAAACGGAAACCGCTGTCCAGGGCCTTAGCAACAGCGAAATCCTTCAACTAAAGTCTCCCTCTGTTAGTCTATAACACAAGGGGAAAGCATCACACATTGTACTGAGCCTATTACACAAGGGAGATCACTGTAGCGTCTAACGAATATTCAATTTAGGAGATCACTGTATACATGGATTTAAGAAGGGAAATCTTTGTACCATTAAAACAGATGGGGAGAGCACCTAGCAATATATGAGCTCAAAACACAAAGGGAGGTCATCCGACCATATTTTGTGTCTTTAATATAACAGTACTTGCAGACCGTACATTTAGTCTACTTCAAAATAGATATCAACCAACAATCTTTTAAGTTAATGATTCATTTAGTTTCAAAATAATTCTCAAACTTTTATCGAAGTCAAAGCAACAATCCAAAAAACAACAAAAAGAACAAAAACAACAACCTAAATTTTTAAATAAAAATTAATTCATCAATGTAAAACAAGAAAAAAAAACCTTTCCTGTTTATGCCGCAATTGCTTCCCTTTCTAAGGAAATTAACAATTTGTGTTATTTTGATGTTGGTTTAATTCTTGGGCGAGCCTGCCCGACTTTTAAATTAGTATACTGGAATTACCTTTCCAATCCAACTTTCTGTGTAACATGACGTCATAGAACCTTTCAACTTCACTCCAAAGGGTTTAATGACGTTATTTTTGTTATGAAAAAAAAAAACAGTGGGATGTTTCATCAAATTGAGTGTTACATAACATGTCTACTAGAGTTTTTTTTTAATTCTTAGTGCATGTATGTTATGCATAATGGAACGGAAAAAAAGTAATGTTTGTCTGTGGAAAATTTATGTGCGATTTTTTAAACAATACAACGAGAATTGTTAAATTCAGATATAATCATGGTCTCGCGAATGTATGTCGCCATACTGTATCGTTATGTTTTTTTTAAAATGACATATTATTGCCAGAATAAAAAAAAATGTATGTGTGGATGTATATGACGATGTAGGTGGACGTGATTTGATGAGATAGTGGTATAGTCACACGTTGAATGTATGTAACCTGAGAAGGGGGGGGGGGGGGTTGACAGTAAAACGTAATTTATCATTCATACTACTAAAAACCATTACTTTTATTATTTTTAAAACAGTTATTATATAATTATGCTTCATTATTTCAAATATGTTATGAGTGATGACCTGAGTGGGATGCTATCCCATAATGAACGTATAACATAAAAAAAATCATTTCATGCTTTGCTGCTTTGATTGTATAAATTATTATTGTATAATTATGTATTTGTATGTTAGCTTCCACAGTTCGGAGCACTAGTCTTTAACGACTTGTAATTTTACAAGTCAATTCACAGTCTGTAAACAGGGTAACAATGCACGGTGCAAATCGCTTTTGTATTTTAATACATTATGAATGTCCTCATACAAATAATTAGATTCAACATTTTTAAATATACTTTTTCCCGTTAAATAATGAAAATTAAATTACGGTATTTTAAATATATTTTTCTTACCAATGCTGTATTATATACAATTTTTTTTTTATAAATATGGGGTATATGTCTCAAATCCAATGGGAAATAACCATTCATTTTAAAATTTCTAACTGTAGTTTTGTTATGTCCCTTGGTGTAAATTCATTAAAAACTGTTGACATTAATTTCATTGTTTCCTCTTTGGCTGTATTATTTATTTTTAGGCATAAATTAAAATTTGGATGCTTTAAATATATAACATGCACAGCCTGTGATTTAGAAAATAAAAGAAATGAGAGAAAGAGAAAGAGAGAGAGAGAGAAAAAGAGAGACAGAGAGTGGAGAGGTGTGTAATGTCTATCACTATTATGTCGAATTCCTTATTTTTATATTATTGTCTATGATCGCCAGTTCTGTCTTTTATTTCATACATAAATATAACTAACACCCCTATTTATGATTAGTTTCTGCCGGTTTACCTCGGGAGCAGGACATACCCCCCCCCCCGACCTAAACCCCCGGAGTTATTACCCCCTGTCAATTACCCCCCCCCCCTCCTGTCGATTACACACCCCCCCCCCCCGTCAATTACTCCCCGCCCAGTAGGACATACCGCCCCACATCGGACAGGGTGAGGGTTAGGGCTAGGTTTAGGGCTTGTGCTGCGGTTAGGGTTAGGGTTATGGTTTGGGTTAAGGTTAGGATCAGGGCTAGGGTTAGGGCAATATCTGGGGTTAGGGTTAGGCTTAAACCAAGGTTTAGTGTTAGTCTTGGTTTTGTGTTAAGTTTTAGGCTGAGATGGATGCTTAGGTTTTGGTCTTTTTCTTAAGGATAGGATTAATGTAATATAAAGGTATAGAATTCTAGTTAGAGTTAGGATTGTATCTTTGGGGGGGGGGGGGGGGGGAGGTAATTGACAGGGGGGGGGGGGTAATTGACGGGGTAATTGCTCCGGGAAGGGGGATAAATACTGGGGGTAAATGTCCGGGGGGGGGGGGGGTAATGTCCTGTATCCGTTTACCTCATAGCCTGATACCAAAAATAGGTCAGTCTAAAATGAAATAGAGGGGTTTCAGCTATTTAACATGTGTAGCTTTGTGTCAGTGTGATGAAATAAAAGAAACTAGCGTAGCTCAAAGTAATTTATGTAAAGGGTAAAGTTAAGTCCGTGTAATTGTTTTCTCGACATTTTAAAAAATACTTTGTATAACAGGATGCGTGTATAATACATTTTTTTTTATTAAAAAGAATGAACGTTTTTTTTTTTCTTCAATGCTCTAATATAGCAATGCAGTGCATTCGCTGAAACTATTTATGTATTCCTATTTACGCTTCTGTTAATGAATTATTTGAAAAATAGAAAATGTTCGTTACATTAACGTTTTGCCAATCTATTTGAGCTCAATTGAAATCCAATCATATAGTATCGATCACTGCGTATAGTAAAGTAAAACAATATCATTCATTCTAAGCTGTTTTACATCCTGCCTATGTTCGTAAGATTTTTTAAAGTCTGATTCATATTTTTACATATATGAATATTTTTAAAAATATCTTTAAGCTTATATTTGCAACATGCTTTTCTTATTAGTTTAGCATTACAGTACAATTATTGTACAGTCTATTAATTAAGTAAACAGAAACACAAATTTAATTTAGATTGAATGATGTTTTTAGTGGTACAATTTGCATGTCAGTCACTTGTAGACTACAACTTTAAACGTGTGAAGGGAGAATATGAAGTTGAAAGAATGAAAAGAGAACTTGAGTTTTAGGAATTTGAAGTTGAGAGAATGGAGAGAGAACTTAAGATGGAGAATTTGAGAAAGTGATATCATTATGTAGCATGAATAACAGCAGTTAATATAAATTATGATTTGTGACATACCATTTAAAAAAATTGCACTGAGAAGGTGCTGTGTGTGAGAGGAAGAGAAAACGCGATTACTTTTTGTATTGAGAATATGAACTTTATCTTGTGTAACTGATGATCTGGGTGTAGAAATAGAGAATGTGAAATTGAGAAATAGAGAGAAATAAAATCACACTGAATATTTGACATTTAGAATATGTTATTTTAAATACGTTTTTATATAGTATACGAGTGTCATGGAGATTGCGTCATTGAGGATGTGAAATTGTGACTTTAAGAAAGAGAAATTGAGAAAATGACATTGCTATTTAAGATGTAGATGACTTTATTAGGTTGATTTAATTATGATTGTAAGAAGGTGCCAACTACTTTTGCGTGTGTTCACTACTGCTTTCTAAATGACGTGTCATGTTACTACATTCTTGCCTTTATGTGGTTGTCAAGTTTATTAAAATACTAGAGCAAAACTGGTGTCAACGAGTCAAATAATTTTTTAATTTGTATTTTCGGTAGACGACTGTGTCACGATTGTTTGCTTTTCTATCACAGTGCTGATTATTGTAGCTACATCGGATGGAAGAGCGGGTGCTGGTGACTCAAGCACACTAGAAAAACTATCAATATTACTATTTGATAAATTTAATAATGATATAATATTGTATATGAAATTTCATCAAACTAGATGTAACGGTACTCAAGTTAGCGTGTTTAACGACACACACACAAACACACACACAGACATACTGACAGAATTGCAAAACACAGTTTTTCCGACTCATTTGCACAAAGAACGCTGAAATTTTGATAAATCTACATTTATTATTTTTGCCCGATTAAAATAAGTCCCCTAAAGTCCGTAGTATATGATAAAGTACTGAGGTGTAAAACGATGAAAACTCAAAATTTCAAGTGATTTTTGTGCATCTACCAACAATGTAATTTCTAAAGACACCAAAATTAGACATAAGCAAAAATCGAACTAGATCTAAAATCTAGATCAATATCTAGATATGTAGGTTCTTCCCAGAATTACTGCTGTTTGAAGCTTTGCATGACTAGAATAAAATATTGCGAGTGTTTAAAATAAACACTAAACAGCCTAGGCCAATTTGGCAAGCTTTCACCATAACCAAACAGGGGCGTTAACTCACATATATTTAGAGCCAAAATATATAAACAACAGACGACAGTAATTTAGATTAAATAATAAATAAGTCACTGTTCAATAATTATTTTATGAGAAACTACTGTTTTTGTGTGTGCTAGAATCTGTGTGTTTGCAGATAGATCTAGTATTACTAGTAAACTAGTAAGTTACTCGAATACTAAAATAAAAGTAAAAAGCTTCTAAAATAGTACTAAAAAAAAATAAAAAAGACCAGACTTTTAACACTTTACCAGTGAAGTGAGTCCAACTAGGAAAGAATGCTAAAAAAAAATGAAAGATACTAGAATCTAGATCTAGTACTAGATCTAGATCTAGATTCTAGATCTAGAGAAATTCTAGAATAGAATCTAATAATAAAGATAGGTTTAGGACCTAAACTTTAGGTGGGGGGGGGGGGGGCGGCTTAAGTTATTTTAAAGTTTTAAATTTTAAAGTCAACAATTAGGAGATTTGTTTGCACATTCATTGCATAAAGCAGGGGCGTAGCGAGGGGGGGGCGGGGGGTGCGGACCGCACCGGGTGACACCATTTAGGGGGGTGACACCAAGGCAAAAAATAGAAAAATATATAGAAAAAAACTCGAGGGGGGGTGCAAATCGAAAGTTTGAGGGGGGGGGGGTGCAAATCGAAAACTTGAGGGGGGGTGCAAATCGAAAGTTTGAGGGGGGGGGGGGTGCAAATCGAAAATTTGAAAGTTTGTCCCTGGGAAGGGTCTTTATGCCTCTGGGGGGGGGGTGACACCATTAAGTGCCGCACCGGGTGACACCCGACCTCGCTACGCCACTGGCATAAAGATAATAATAAGTTAAAAAAAATTGAATGCTGTTGTTAGTGTATCAGAAATAAAAGCGTGCAGATCGGAATGAAAAAATATAACAATGGTGGCCACAATGGGTACACACTAGTACACAGCCTATGAGCATGAGGGCGGTCATCATCCCTTCATAATAAATATGCCAAGTTCAAGAAACATGAACTCTAATTCACAACTTAAAATATTATTATTAATGTTTATTTGGCCTAATGTTTTATTTTAATGTTTTTTTTTTAATCTCAGTGTAATGACTTTCTTCATTTCCTAGACCTAATCTATTGTAAAAATAGCACAATAAATTGAAAATGGGTGAAGATAATGTCTGTGTTCCAATGCCAGGACAGTTTTCAGTAAGTTTTTTTCACTGTTAAAATTTTGTAAGAAATTTAAAAAAAAAAGAATTAAATTATATAGCATCTAGATTCTATATATAATTATACAATATTCATCCCTACAAGCCTATAAAACCTTTATCTATGTCTATATGATTCTAGGCTTATATTATTATAGGCAGAATACATTTTGATTTTTAAAAATTTATGTATTGATCTTAACACATATTTCTACACTTCAGAAAATCAGCCCTACAGAAATGTTCAGACTGCGCCATTCCTTAGTTGAACTGGTAGAAGAGTTGAAGTTGAGAAAGAAATGTGACCGCGATAATGAAGCTAAAATTCAAGAATTAGTTACAAGAAATCATGTCCTTCAAAGAACTTTGGTGTGATTGACAATTTTCTTTTTACTTTTATTAAGATAGAAGTAAATTTTTTATGTTTTTTCAAATATTTTATTAAGCAAAAAGTACAGATCCCTATTACTAGTATAACTGAAACCTGTTTTTGTATGTAGGCATAAAACTTGCATAAATTTAATTTATAATTGAACAGGACTCTGAACAACAGCGCACTAAACTAAAAGAAGAGACGTTTGAAAAAGCTATGTCTGAAATGAAACACCACTATGAGAATAAAATGATGCAGTTTCAAATTGAAAAGGTTAATACTAGTGACCTAACAATGTACTATACTTGATTGGTTTTAAAAGTCAAGCGCAATAATTAACTTGAATGTCTTAAGTCAGTAGGATGTCCCTGAGTCCTACTAACTCTGATGGGTTTTGACTTGAGTTAGAGGGGAAGAAAAGGCATAGTGCTGACCACAAGATCCCTTCATTTGAGAACCAAATAAGCTCTGCTTAGTCTACTCCATATGTTGTTCAAACTTTTGCAGACTGAAATCTTGTAAAATACATATTTAAAAATAATTTTGGGAAAAAATGTAGTAGCCTATATCATACACAGTGGCTTTTTCTGATAGTCAATCCAGCAATATATATGTCTGTGTTGTGTATTTATAATAAGACCATATAAGCTCTACTTAGTCTACTCATTTGTTTTTCAAACTTTTGCAGACTGAATTATTGTAAAATACATTTTACTAACAATTTTGGAAAACAATTAAGTGTATCATACACAGTAGCTTTTTCTGATAGTCAATCCAGCAAAATGTATGCTCCTGTTAAGGACTTGATATTCTACCCCATATTTATTACAGTTATAGATTGACAGCTTCTCTTATATCTATTTATAAGCTAGGTGCACAAGCCATCCATTTCCAAAACAACTTATCTAAGACAATTGGTGGATGTAGTGTCTTGAATGGTGGAGGTCTATGTATTTTTGGAAGTTAGAAATGTTTATTATAGGTACACTAGGATAACACACTCATTCAGCCTAAAATCTTGTAACAAATATATCATTTTTATAAGCTGATCTTATATGTATTAAGAAAATAGTTGAGACATAGTAAGAAAAATAATATTACATCTTAGAAAATAAACAATGATTTATTTCAACAGCAACAGCTAGATGCAAGGACTGGGGTCAAGGATTTTTTAAAGGACCATATGAGAGAGGAGATGCAGCAGTTGCAGGTTTGTTAAAGCGAATTATCAACCTTATTATAATTATAAAAAAACAAACAACAACAATCATTTAATCTATTTGACATTATTGAACCAGTTAATGTTTGCTTAATCTTTATGATTCAGGTATGATATGTGTAAAATTAAAAATTTTCTTTTAATTCTGCAGGTACAATATATTGTAGTCATAGATATAATTTATTAAAAAAAAATTAATTAAAAAATTTCCTTTTAGTTCTGCAGGTATAATGTATTGTAGACATAAATATTATTTATAAAAAAAATTAATTAAAAAATTGTCTTTTAATTCTACAGGTATAATGCATTTTTGATATAAATATAATTTATAACAATAATTAAAGATAGTATAAGATGCATAAAAACCAACTGCCGTTCTTAAATTGTCTTTATGTTAAATACGCAGCTTACAAATTATCAGTATGAGAAAACCATAAAAGAGCTGGAAGCCAAACTGCAGTCCCAAGAAAACTCATCAGAAAAGAAGCTTTCCCAGTGGTCAGACATTGAGAGAAAAGTAGCTGAGTTAAGTGACTTGTACCAGTCAGCTGTAGGCTCCTTCAGCAGGCTGGAAGCAGAGGGTGAGTAGAAAATTAGATTAGGGAGACTGCATGATCAAATGGTAGAGGGTTCAACTACTAGTCCGAAGGTCCAGAGTTCGAATCTCGATCTGGTTCAGACCCAGAACTGTAGGATGTACCTAAGTCCACACAGCTTTGATTTGTACCTGACTTAGAATAGGGAAAGTAAAAGCGGCTGGGCATAGTGCTGTCCACACTATCCCTTCATATACTGAGGTCAAGAAACATAAGAACTCTACTTCATCTGCCCTATGGATCTTTAGGTCTTAAAGGGGAGCTTTACTTTTTTAAACAAGAGATTGACCATCTACAATATAATACATTTTAGGAGCTGAAAATCAGTCACCAGAGTAGATAAGAAGAGTTGTTTTTTTTGTCACTTCAGCATGTGAAGAGATACTATGCTAACTCCTTTGCTTAGCCACATTTAATAACCTAACTTTGATGATAAAGTATGCTGCAGAGCTGGGTAAATTTAGGATGTCTTATAGATTTTAGTCGTGTGACAAACTTAAGACTTAAAAGCTAGCATTTAAAAATAATAAGTGAGTTTTTAAATAAATGCTGATGAAGAGTTGTGTAAAATATGTTTAATTCATAACAAAATAGAAATTTATGTGTAGATGAAATGTAAAATGGTAATATTTTGTAAAATTATTTAGATTAAAACTATTTATCTTTGCAAGGAGCTATTATATTTCACCAATTTTTTAGTGTGGTAAATACATGTGTTTATATAAGATCATGCTGCATTGGTACAAATATGTCTCTCTGAAAAAAATATACAGAAAAATTTGTGTTTTATATCACTGATTTTTAAATTGATAAAAATCTGTGTTGAATTGCGTTACTGTAATTGAACAGGCCCCTAAATATGGAAAAATTAATAATAATTTAATGAGATAAAATCTGCATATACTTACTTTTATTCAAAAGTAAATTTGCAATTAGTAGATAAATCTATCATATATCAAGGGAGATAAGTAGCTTATGATTTACAATGAATGTTGGTGAAATCAGTCTGAACAAAAAAAAACAGACACAATAGTTTGGATGGAATGTTTAATATCACAGATTTTTAGTGGGATAAAAAGTTATCACAGATCCTTAGACTAGGAGATAAAGCTAACATTATAGAATCATTTTCAAACATGCAACAATTTTCAAAAACTAAAAAAGTATAAATGGTAATATTTTAAATTAACATCACAATATTTTACCCTGTTCTGTAATGGTAAATGTATGCCTTATGCTGGAACCTTATATCCACTTTTCATGACTCCATAAAAATATCAAAATATTTTTGAAATTACAAAAATAATATTTTGATTTAAAACTAGGCCTTTAATAAAAAAAAATGTTAACAAAATTTTTAGAACATTGTTCTATTAGTAACATAATTTCTGTGGGTAAATAAAAATTGAGCCTCGTGTGTATGGAAAAAGTTTTGTTAATTGAATAGCGTTACTTCTCAAGAGTTGGTTCATAATTAACTATGTAGACAATAATAACGAAATAGGAGCTTCATTACGAAATGAGAAAAGTAGTAGGCTTTCACATAGATGTAGAGGTAGGCTTTTATTTTTATATGATCAATTAGCAACCTCTCATTCCCTAAGATTATAACTTACGTATATCATTTTGTATTTATATTTTATAATTTGCAATACGAGTCCATTACTAAGGTTACATTACATTTATTAAAACTAAGTTAGCATAAAAAGTAAAACCAGAGTTTGTATCAGCTATAGCTTAAATAAGAAATACACTTGTTTAGCTTTTTGCTTTGACAGACTTTTGACAGAAAATAATTTGAACAAAAAGGTAAAAAGTCAGTTTTATCTTATGCTTTAAAACTATTCTAGAAGAGGCACTTCAGCAGTGAGCATTGCATAGCTTCATTAGCCCCTAGTTTCGTTTTCAAAATTTACTCTGAAAAGTTTAATAAATAATCAACTACACAAAAAGCATAGTTGCTTAAAAATTATATGCATGCTGAAGTTATTTCAAGTTATTTAATGCCAAAAGACAGTTCAAATGAGTTAAATTATACCATGTTAAGAAATCAACATAGAAATTTATAACGTTTTCACTATTTTCTTGAGCAGAAAATAAAAATATTCCTTAATTATGTATGTTTACAAATACATGTGAACCTTTTAAATGTGTTTTTTTGTTTTTCTGAAGATCAAACAAAATCCAACATATTTTGTTATCAAAAGACATAATAAAAATAACTTATACCTTGTTTTCATAATTTTTAAAATGGTCTATAATCATTGTTCTTTCTAAAATTATATAAAAAACTAGTACAACAAAAAATGTATTTATTATTTTATGTAACTCTAATTGTGCATTATTCAATATTTTTTTTTAGTTGTAAAAATTATTAAAATAAGTTTACATCAAAATTAAACAGTGTATTTTATAAAAAAAGTAGAATTGCTTAAAAAATCCTTGCATAAAAAAATCAGTAATTCTGATAAAATTATCACAGACTTGCTAAAAAAAACGTGTTTGATTGTAAAACATATTCAAAGAAAAAATACCTGAAGAATACAAAAAATGGTTTATAGAGTGTAGTGCAACTTATTATGAAATGTTTGAGGTTTTTTATAGGCCTGAGTTTTCAAGTCTAATTGTTAAAAAATAATTTTAAAATCTTAAAAAAAACTTTATTTTTTTATAACAATAATAATAAAACTTTAAAAATTGATTTATAAGAAAGATGTGATAAATTGGAACAATTTTATCTAGATACATACTTAAACATGAAGTGGTATATAAATTTCATTTAGCAACTGTTTCGGAAGACACTTTAGTCAAACTCTTTTCATCATGTTAAATACTTGCATGCTAACATTCACTGAGATCTGACAGAATAAACCACACTGTTTATACACAACATGACTATTGAGTTAGACCAATAAGTCCTTATGACATTAGCAGCATTCAGTAGTATGTAAAATAGATATTAGCTTTGGTGAAAGTATTTGTTTCTTTGTGTAATCAAAGTTCATACAAGAAATATTGTGCATGTAGTGTTACTCTTGCTTAAACACGTAGTTTAAAAAAAAACATAATTTTCCTGGTAATAAAACACTTATTTGTATTTAGATTTTAAATAGACAGTTATCATAGTTGTGAATAATTATTTAAAACAGTAAAAACAAATTTTAGCTTTGGTGAAAGTATTACTGTTCCTTTGTGTAATCAAAATTCATACATGAACTGCTACTCTTGTGTTGTAACAGTTTTAAAATAGTTATCTCCCTGCTAATAAATCATTTCTTTGCATTCAATTTTTCAATAGAGACAGTTAACATAGTTGTGAATAATTATTTAATACAGTAAAGCTATTATTTTTTAATGATAATCATGTTCGTCCTCCTCTCTTGTGGGTGACATTCGTCTGTCATCACTGTGTCGGGGGTTGCCTCTTGAAGCTGCCCGTGACCCTGCCCTGGATGGTCCATTGTGTCCAGACATAATATCAGGCAGTGAGCGCTGCTTGGGTGTTGCAAGTGCTAGTTTACGGTACCTCTGTTTCAGCTGGGAGGTTGGGATTGTAAAGGGAAAGTTATTCATATGGTTCAGTTAGTAAAGCCTGATTGATATAAACTCTTATAGTTTTAGGAAACTCTTTTTGCTAACACTTAATATTAATGTAGTCCATTGTTCAAATATTGTTCAAACCAATCTTTATTTGAATAGTATTTAAAATGTGTGAACTTCAAGGGTATGGGGGCTGAGTTGATTATTGACTACCAACACATAAAAAATATTTTTGCATTTTTTTTATATAGCCAATATTTTATTTGAAAAATCCATTTGTAAAAGTCAGATTTGTCTTATTGGCTGGGTGGTGTTAATATTGAATGAGTATATTTAAAACAGTTCATTTTAACAAGAAAAATTAGAGGGGGCATGGGTCTTATATGCCCAGTCATTTTATGTACCCTGACCTGTAAACACTTAAGAATGCATTTCTTTCTTTGGTGGAGGCCTACCGACAGTTCGGTTATTAGCTTTATATTTATAGTGGTCTAACTGCCCAATGGATCACTAGGTCTAAAGAGTATTCTTTACTTAACTCAGAGAACTTTGTATTCACTTATCATGAGCATTTTAAAAAGAGAATGACTTCCCATATTTAAGTTGCTCTCTAGAGTGGACACATACCTCCTGGTTTTCTCGCCACAGTTCATCTCTCTCACTGGCCAGCTTGTTCTTCTGTTTGTAGGACTCATCTATTGTAGACTCCATTTTCTGGTTTCTTGACTTGAGAAGACCCTAATGAAACAAAAATATTTAAATTTTTTGCTCTTTTAAATAATAATTTAACATTGTTGAGGTCTGAATTTTCTTGTTCTAGACTTAAGAAGACCCTGTTAACATTTTAATTTATTTACTTATGCTTTTTAAAATATAAATTGACTTCATTATTTTTGTAGGTCCTATATTGTATAGTGAAATCATACTGTGTATAAATATATTTTCTTAGAAATATTTATATTCAGCTAATTAATTGCCTGTAAATTAAGTCAATCGATTTTATTTGCTCAAAATTCATACATTAATCAGTTTATTAATTTTCGCTAAATTATTTAAGACAAAAACTGCTCTACTACAACTTAAGTCAGAGAAATAGCTGTCCAATTTCAGCTTCAATCAGAAAATCAACTATTTTGCTTAGGGCAAACTACTGATAGATTACAGCTACAGTTAAGAAATGGCCAATTATGTTTTTATTAAGTCAAGCGCTTGATCCACTATCAGCAGCTAAACTTACATTTCCTAATTAATTAAGACAGCCAATCAACTGACCTTCTCCTCATTAAGTCTCCTAGTTTGTGTCCTGAGCAGCGTGACCTCATCAGACAGGATCCTGATCTGGTGTACCATGTCCTTATCTGGGTCACGCAGGTGGAGGATCTCCTTGTGTTTCTGGTCCACCAGTACCTGCAGTCTGGCGTTTTCTGACTGAAGTCTGGCCAGGTCGTTGGACATCAGCTGGCTCTCATTGTCTTTGTCTTCCAGCTGTTGAATGGGTTATATAAAAATTGTACACAACATGACAGACTTCACTATAAAATATAACAGGCTCTCATTGTCTTTGTCTTCCAACTGTTGAATGAGTTAGATAAAAATAGTAACACTACATGACAGATTTCAATAGAAAATATAACAGGCTCTCATTGTCTTTGTCTTCCAACTGTTGAATAAGTTAGATAAAAATAGAAACACTAGATGACAGATTTCAATATAAAATTTAACAGGGTCTCATTATCTTTGTCTTCAAGCTGTTGATTTGTTTAGATAAAAATAGTAACACTAGATGATTACAATATAAAATATAACAGGTTCTCATTATCTTTGTCTTCCAACTGTTGAATGAGTTATATAAAAATAGTAACACTGCATGATAGACTTCAATATAAAATATAACAGGTTCTCATTATCTTTGTCTTTAAGCTGTTGAATAAGTGGAAAGTTATAGAGAAATGGTTCACAATAGAAATTGTAATACACACATGGATAATTATTCTGAGATGGTAAGTAAGCTTTTTAAGACATAGTGTTGATTAAACCCAACGTGGCCAACAGGTAGAGCACACTGAGTTCGAGTCTCCCAAGTATGCATGGAGTTTGGGATAGTAAAGGAGGCTGATCATAGTGCTGATCACATAGGCTGATCATAGTGCTGACCACATATTACCATCATATACTAGGGTTAATCAAGAAAACTCTTCTTTCTTCTATTCTAATGACTTGTTGTGCCTGAGAAGGGTGTTTGAATAGATTCATCTCTTTTTAAATGAGATTAATGTCAGCAACAAATCTGAGCTCTGTTTGATTTAGAAAAATGTTATTGGGTTCCATGATCAGTGTTTCTTCCAGGCATCTTTTCAGGGCCCCCGAAAATATCAAGTAGCCCCCCCCCCCCCCCTCTGGTGAAAAAAGTCTGGAAGAAACACTGTACATGATCTTAACAGTGTGCTGAAATTGTGATCAAACAGTTGACCTACCCGTTTCTTGAGCCTCATGTTCTCTTGCCGTGAGTCCTGGTAGCTCTTGTCCAGCCTGTCGTAGTCACCTTGCTGTTCTCTCACCTTGGCTATCAGACTTTGTTTATCATTTTCTGCCTCTTGGAGATCTCTGTTCAGTTTCCAGTTCTCTGAGTCTAACTCCTAACAAGACATTTAATGCATCTTTGATTACCTATACATTTTTTAATGAGAAATATACATTTTTTAAAACTTTGACACTGTTGCAATTAAGATTTTACTCAAAAATGTCTTTTAACTACAAGTAAGACTTTAACTAAGAAGAAATAGAAAAATCAAATATTAATATAATAATGTTAAGACCTTTTAAATTGCTGTTGGTAAATATGGAAAATGTAGGGGGTATTAATGCTTAATTGGTGTACTTAATTTGTACTTAATTGGTGCATTTTATGGGCATTTCAAATTCATAATTTTGTAAAATGTTGGTGGTGAGTTTCTATAATATCATTCACATATAAAATACTTTATTTTCTTTTTAGTAAGACCAATATGATCTAAAAATAAAATGAATATATAAAATGTGATTGCTAAAAGTTTTGATTTGGATAAAAAATTAAGTGCTGATTTTATATAATTAGTGCATAGTGTTAAATGACATGTGTGAGGTGATAAACTAACAAATGTAATTTATGCATTGATCATATAAAATGTGAAACTAATAGATTTAGATGGTGTGAAATGAATAGATTTACTGTGGATTTTAGAAGATGTGAAACTAATAGATTTAGTGTAGATCATATAGAAGATGTGAAACTAATAGATTTAGTGTAGATCATAGAATATGTGAAATGAATAGATTTACTGTGGATCTTAGAAGATGTGAAACTAATAGATTTAGTGCAGATCATATAGAAGATGTGAAACTAATAGATTTAGTGTAGATCATAGAATATGTGAAATGAATAGATTTACTGTGGATCTTAGAAGATGTGAAACTAATAGATTTAGTGCAGATCATATAGAAGATGTGAAACTAATAGATTTACTGTGGATCTTAGAAGATGTGAAACTAATAGATTTAGTGTAGATCATAGATGTGAAACTAATAGATTTAGTGTAGATCATGGATGTGAAACTAATAGATTTAGTGTAGATCATAGAAGATGTGAAACTAATAGATTTAGTGTAGATCATAGAAGATGTGAAGCTAATAGATTTAGTGTAGATCATAGAAGATGTGAAACTAATAGATTTAGTGTAGATCATAGAAGATGTGAAACTAATAGATTTAGTGTAGATCATAGAAGATGTGAAACTAATAGATTTAGTGTAGATCATAGAAGATGTGAAGCTAATAGATTTAGTGTAGATCATAGAAGATGTGAAACTAATAGATTTAGTATAGATCATAGATATGAAACTAATAGATTTAGTGTAGATCATAGAAGATGTGAAACTAATAGATTTAGTGTAGATCATAGAAGATGTGAAACTAATAGATTTAGTGTAGATCATAGAAATTGTGAAACTAATAGATTTAGTGTAGATCATAGAAGATGTGAAACTAATAGATTTAGTGTAGATCATAGAAGATGTGAAGCTAATAGATTTAGTGTAGATCATAGAAGATGTGAAGCTAATAGATTTAGTGTAGATCATAGAAGATGTGAAGCTAATAGATTTAGTGTAGATCATGGATCTGAAACTAATAGATTTAGTGTAGATCATAGATATGAAACTAATAGATTTAGTGTAGATCATAGAAGATGTGAAGCTAATAGATTTAGTGTAGATCATAGAAGATGTGAAGCTAATAGATTTAGTGTAGATCATAGAAGATGTGAAACTAATAGATTTAGTGTAGATCATAGAAGATGTGAAACTAATAGATTTAGTGTAGATCATAGAAGATGTGAAGCTAATAGATTTAGTGTAGATCATAGAAGATGTGAAACTAATAGATTTAGTATAGATCATAGATATGAAACTAATAGATTTAGTGTAGATCATAGAAGATGTGAAACTAATAGATTTAGTGTAGATCATAGAAGATGTGAAACTAATAGATTTAGTGTAGATCATAGAAATTGTGAAACTAATAGATTTAGTGTAGATCATAGAAGATGTGAAACTAATAGATTTAGTGTAGATCATAGAAGATGTGAAGCTAATAGATTTAGTGTAGATCATAGAAGATGTGAAGCTAATAGATTTAGTGTAGATCATAGAAGATGTGAAGCTAATAGATTTAGTGTAGATCATGGATCTGAAACTAATAGATTTAGTGTAGATCATAGATATGAAACTAATAGATTTAGTGTAGATCATAGAAGATGTGAAGCTAATAGATTTAGTGTAGATCATAGAAGATGTGAAGCTAATAGATTTAGTGTAGATCATAGAAGATGTGAAGCTGATAGATTTAGTGTAGATCATAGAAGATGTGAAACAAATAGATTTAGTGTAGATCATAGATGTGAAACTAATAGATTTAGTGTAGATCATGGATGTGAAACTAATAGATTTAGTGTAGATCATAGAAGATGTGAAACTAATAGATTTAGTGTAGATCATAGAAGATGTGAAGCTAATAGATTTAGTGTAGATCATAGAAGATGTGAAACTAATAGATTTAGTGTAGATCATAGAAGATGTGAAACTAATAGATTTAGTGTAGATCATAGAAGATGTGAAACTAATAGATTTAGTGTAGATCATAGAAGATGTGAAGCTAATAGATTTAGTGTAGATCATAGAAGATGTGAAACTAATAGATTTAGTGTAGATCATAGCAGATGTGAAACTAATAGATTTAGTGTAGATCATAGAAGATGTGAAACTAATAGATTTAGTGTAGATCATAGAAGATGTGAAACTAATAGATTTACTGTGGATCTTAGAAGATGTGAAACTAATAGATTTAGTGTAGATCATAGATGTGAAACTAATAGATTTAGTGTAGATCATGGATGTGAAACTAATAGATTTAGTGTAGATCATAGAAGATGTGAAACTAATAGATTTAGTGTAGATCATAGAAATTGTGAAACTAATAGATTTAGTGTAGATCATAGAAGATGTGAAACTAATAGATTTAGTGTAGATCATAGAAGATGTGAAGCTAATAGATTTAGTGTAGATCATAGAAGATGTGAAACTAATAGATTTAGTGTAGATCATAGAAGATGTGAAACTAATAGATTTAGTGTAGATCATAGAAGATGTGAAACTAATAGATTTAGTGTAGATCATAGAAGATGTGAAACTAATAGATTTAGTGTAGATCATAGAAGATATGAAACTAATAGATTTAGTGTAGATCATAGAAGATGTGAAACTAATAGATTTAGTGTAGATCATAGAAGATGTGAAACTAATAGATTTAGTGTAGATCATAGAAGATGTGAAACTAATAGATTTAGTGTAGATCATAGAAGATGTGAAGCTAATAGATTTAGTGTAGATCATAGAAGATGTGAAACTAATAGATTTAGTATACATCATAGATATGAAACTAATAGATTTAGTGTAGATCATAGAAGATGTGAAACTAATAGATTTAGTGTAGATCATAGAAGATGTGAAACTAATAGATTTAGTGTAGATCATAGAAGATGTGAAGCTAATAGATTTAGTGTAGATCATAGAAGATGTGAAGCTAATAGATTTAGTGTAGATCATAGAAGATGTGAAGCTAATAGATTTAGTGTAGATCATGGATCTGAAACTAATAGATTTAGTGTAGATCATAGATATGAAACTAATAGATTTAGTGTAGATCATAGAAGATGTGAAGCTAATAGATTTAGTGTAGATCATAGAAGATGTGAAGCTAATAGATTTAGTGTAGATCATAGAAGATGTGAAACTAATAGATTTAGTGTAGATCATAGAAGATGTGAAACTAATAGATTTAGTGTAGATCATAGAAGATGTGAAGCTAATAGATTTAGTGTAGATCATAGAAGATGTGAAACTAATATATTTAGTATAGATCATAGATATGAAACTAATAGATTTAGTGTAGATCATAGAAGATGTGAAACTAATAGATTTAGTGTAGATCATAGAAGATGTGAAACTAATAGATTTAGTGTAGATCATAGAAATTGTGAAACTAATAGATTTAGTGTAGATCATAGAAGATGTGAAACTAATAGATTTAGTGTAGATCATAGAAGATGTGAAGCTAATAGATTTAGTGTAGATCATAGAAGATGTGAAGCTAATAGATTTAGTGTAGATCATAGAAGATGTGAAGCTAATAGATTTAGTGTAGATCATGGATCTGAAACTAATAGATTTAGTGTAGATCATAGATATGAAACTAATAGATTTAGTGTAGATCATAGAAGATGTGAAGCTAATAGATTTAGTGTAGATCATAGAAGATGTGAAGCTAATAGATTTAGTGTAGATCATAGAAGATGTGAAGCTAATAGATTTAGTGTAGATCATAGAAGATGTGAAACAAATAGATTTAGTGTAGATCATAGATGTGAAACTAATAGATTTAGTGTAGATCATGGATGTGAAACTAATAGATTTAGTGTAGATCATAGAAGATGTGAAACTAATAGATTTAGTGTAGATCATAGAAGATGTGAAGCTAATAGATTTAGTGTAGATCATAGAAGATGTGAAACTAATAGATTTAGTGTAGATCATAGAAGATGTGAAACTAATAGATTTAGTGTAGATCATAGAAGATGTGAAACTAATAGATTTAGTGTAGATCATAGAAGATGTGAAGCTAATAGATTTAGTGTAGATCATAGAAGATGTGAAACTAATAGATTTAGTGTAGATCATAGCAGATGTGAAACTAATAGATTTAGTGTAGATCATAGAAGATGTGAAACTAATAGATTTAGTGTAGATCATAGAAGATGTGAAACTAATAGATTTAGTGTAGATCATAGAAGATGTGAAGCTAATAGATTTAGTGTAGATCATGGATGTGAAACTAATAGATTTAGTGTAGAGCTTCGAGCTTATAAGATTTAAAAACAAAACAAAAAACAACCAAACAACTACTTAATCTTTACAATGTACATGCCTACCTTCTTCTATATCGTAGAAGGCATAAAATAAAAATGAGTAGACCTACTGCTTTAATGTCATTTCTTTAAAGTTATCTAAAATTTGTAAACATTATCAAAGACATTGGTTATATTTAGAACCAAAACAAAACCATACCTGCAATCTTCTATGGTTCTTTTCCTTATCATCCTCGACATCATCGTTCTCTCTCTGTGCTTGCCTAAGCTTCTCCTGTAAAATTTCCTTGTCCGTCTTCTGTTTTTCTATGCCGTCTTTGATCGCCATTACCATAGATCTAAGGATGAATTTAATGCAAACAGAGATGTCACAATGTATGAGTATGGCTGATTGTATTGTAACCTATTTTATGTTCTCTTGTGATGTTGACAATCAGTTTTGGCATGATGATAAAGATTACTATTGGTATTATTCTCATCAACGGTTATAATATGTATTGGAGTAGGGAGCGTTAGGAGGCGGGGGTGTGATGGCGAAATGACATTTTCTTACATTGATCCCATGCTACATATTGTTCTCATTATCATAGGCTATATTGCCGATGGACGTCTCTGTACTGGCCTCTTATAAAAACTTCACGAGCAGTCAATATGGATCTAGTGTTTAGATACAGATGGTAACGGCCTTGCTTAGCGGAAGAGTGCTAGAATCCTGGTTCATGTCAGTAGAATGGCTCTGAGTCCATCCAGCTCTGATAGGTACCTAACTCACGTTAGGGAAAGTTAAGGCGTTTGGGCAAACTGCTGACTACACTATCCCTTTGTTAGCCTAGGTTACAGAAACAGTTGAACTCTACTTCACTTGCCTCTTCAGGTTCGAAAAGGTAGCTTTATATAGATCCTCTCCAACGCTACTTTATGTCCTATTATCTATTATCAATGTCGCTGCTTCTACAGTAGAGAGCGCTGCCATGAGACAGCACGTATATTCACTTCACAACACTTACACGTTTGTTTTGTATGATTAATCCACGTCGGAAAATCTTCATTGTCCCCTTAACAACGACCGTTTGGAATATGCGATATTCACTTTATGCGCTTAACACCACGTGCAGGGGTGCATTTGTCTCACTGATAGTCGCGAGGTAGGTCTAGCACTCAATAGCATATCCAATATGTGCTTAGGGGGGGGGGTCATGGTTTAAATGTGTGATTGTTATACAAATATATAACAATATTTTGGGGTCGGCGTGGTCGGGTTGGTAAAGCTCATGGCTGCTAAATGAAAAAATCTCGAGTTCGAACCCCCGGCAGATTAGGTTCGATAGGAGTAAAAAAAACTCCAAAATCAAACAACTGCTGCCTTGTAGTTATTCTTGGTTGGACAAAGACTATGGAAGCAAATCCAGAAAGTAAAGCAGTCTGAAATCGGGGTCAACGGCCTATTTGTGCAAAGCCGGTTGACATTGTGGTGGAGGAAGTCCGTTTCAACATTATAAATTAGAACACGAAGTTAAACACACAACAATTTGGTATTCTTAAAATAGTTATACCTTGTTAACTCCGGTCACTCGTGACTCACCTGTCAGGTAGCTCCTCCCTTGGTGTAGCGGCACCCAAGTTTTTGTTCCTTCTTGTAGACTTGAGAGGGTCGTCCACGCTATTCTTGCAGATTTCTATCTCCTCGTGGACTTGACCTTTATGGGGAAAACAATACTCTTCAACTCATGTACATTTGTGTTACCTTTTTACATAGCCTACGCGTGGGGAGGTGATATACTATCATTTGTGTTTAATGTGTTCCTTCTCCGGACTTTAAATTTACACCTCTACTTGAATGTTAACTTTAACACCTCTACATGAATGTTAACCAAACATCTCTACTAGAATGTTAACTTCACATCTCCACTTGAATATTAACTTCACACCTCTACTTGAATGTTAACTTTACACCTCTACATGAATTTTAACTTCACACCTCCACATGAATGTTAATTTAACACCTCTACATGAATGTTAACTTCACACCTCTACTTGAATGTTAAATGTACACCTCTACATGAATGTTAACTTCACATCTCTACATGAATGTTAACTTCACACCTCTACATGAATGTTAACTTCACACCTCCACATGAATGTTAACTTCACACCTCTACATGAATGTTAACTTCACATCCTTACATGAATGTTAACTTCACATCTCTACTTGAATGTTAACTTCACACCTCGACATGAATATTAACTTCACACCTCGACATGAATATTAACTTCACACCTCGACATGAATGTTAACTTCACACCTCTACTTGCATGTTAACTTCACACTTCTACATGAATGTTAACTTCACACCTCTACTTGCATGTTAACTTCACACTTCTACATGAATGTTAACTTCACACCTCTACATGAATGTTAACTTCACACCTCCACATGAATGTTAACTTCACACCTCTACATGAATGTTAACTTCACATCCTTACATGAATGTTAACTTCACATCTCTACTTGAATGTTAACTTCACACCTCGACATGAATATTAACTTCACACCTCGACATGAATATTAACTTCACACCTCGACATGAATGTTAACTTCACACCTCTACTTGCATGTTAACTTCACACTTCTACATGAATGTTAACTTCACACCTCTACTTGCATGTTAACTTCACACTTCTACATGAATGTTAACTTCACACCTCTACATGAATGTTAACTTCACACCTCTACTTGAATGTTAAATGTACACCTCTACATGAATGTTAACTTCACATCTCTACATGAATGTTAACTTCACACCTCTACATGAATGTTAACTTCACACCTCCACATGAATGTTAACTTCACACCTCTACATGAATGTTAACTTCACATCCTTACATGAATGTTAACTTCACATCTCTACTTGAATGTTAACTTCACACCTCGACATGAATATTAACTTCACACCTCGACATGAATATTAACTTCACACCTCGACATGAATGTTAACTTCACACCTCTACTTGCATGTTAACTTCACACTTCTACATGAATGTTAACTTCACACCTCTACTTGCATGTTAACTTCACACTTCTACATGAATGTTAACTTCACACCTCTACATGAATGTTAACTTCACACCTCTACTTGAATGTTAACTTTACACCTCTACATGAATGTTAACTTCACACCTCTACATGAATGTTACTTTAACACCTCTACTTGAATGTTAACTTTACACCTCTACATGAATGTTAACTTCACACCTCTACCTGAATATTAAATGTACACCTCTACATGAATGTTACCTTCACATCTCTACTTAAATGTTAAATGTACACCTCTACATGACTGTTAACTTCACACCTCCACATGAATACCACCCATAAACAAGCTAGGCTTAACCTGTTCTTCTCTCTTTCTTTTCTTATAGGCCGACTAAATATAACCCTCAATAAAACCCTAGAACTTATGTTCCACTTTCTATTGTTGGAGGAAACTTGATCTTTTAGTATAGAATTTAGCATTCTGTCGTTTAGTTTTTGATTTAGTACGACGCATCTAAGTTTGTATTATAAGTGGGGAATTTCTTTCCTCTTATTTAAATTAAAATATAAAATATCAAGAAATATAGTTTATATAAAAACTAACACCCGTTCATTTAGTACGACGCATCTGATTTTGTAATATGAGTCGTGAATTTCTTTCCTCGTTTAAATTAAAATATAAACAATGAAACATTTTTTTATTAAAAAAAACAACAACTAACACCCATCAATTTATTACGACGTAAAAAAAACCCAACAAAATATAATTGTTTTAGAAAATTGGGGCGTAGCTTGGGTGAGTATAGGAGATATCATATCGTCAATTACCTCCCTCCCCCCTCCCCCCCAGCATTCCCAGCATTCCCCAGGCATTCCTCTAATTTAATCCCCCCCCCTCCGGGCTGGTGGTGGTGGGGGGGGGGGTGGGGGTAATTGACGGGGTTTGGGCTATATCTTGCACCCACATAGGAATAAGCCTGCGAAACTTTTCAATGACACCACTAGCAGAGAATCTCGGCCCACAGCAAACACAGCTGGGTTGTTTAAACTGACAGCAGAATTTTATTGTAGGAGCACGTCTGTGCTTTTTTTTTTAAAATTTATACATTGGTTATTTTTTTTTTAAGAAAAAGAAAATCAATGTCTTCCGTGCGGTTTTGGAGTAATTGATTGATTAGCCTGTTTTTAATGGCAAGTCTTATCGGGGGTGGGCTTTGTACTCCAGTAGAGTGATTGTATCTTGATAAACACGCCAGAGGGGTGTTGTCGTGACGGCATTCTAGGCTTGACATACAAACATAAAAATGCTGGAACGGCATATGGAGTGACGTTTAAAAACCCAGGTTATTTTTTTTAGCACCGGTATCATACCATTCCACTCTTCTAAAAAAATAGGTTGTAAGTTTGCTAGCACTAACTTTATTCTCAACCCAAATCCTAAATTAACCATAAGCCTAGCCAAAACACCCAGGATTGATGTTTGCATTTTTTTTCAAGGGGAGGTCACTTAGTCTTATTTGGAAATTTTAGTCCGCCCCCCCCCTCCACCCAGAGAAAAAAGTCTGGAAGAAACACTGTAAGTGTGACTATTAGATGGTGGTCACGCAACCTTATCTTTAAAAGGGGGGGGGGAATAGGTGAGGTGGGTGTAGTTTGGGGGGGGAGGGATGGGGTTCATGGCTTACAATATAATTCTCATATCTTTTGTAAGAGTCAATTTCTCTCCTCACCAGTTAGGATAAAAATGTCTTCCTTACCTAACCGAAGCAAGACGAGGTTCGACAAATGCGCGGCGTCGCTCGGCCGCTGGGCGTTGCTGAGGTCCGTGGTGTTGGGCCTGTTGTACAGGATGGGGTCCAGGTGCTTGTGCACGGCCTCGGTCAGGTTGGCCATCACCTGGGGCGACTGGGACTGACCAGGGTCCATGACGTCGTCCCTGACGGCCTGGGTGATCTTGGCGGACAGAGGCACGACCTTGGTCTCGGCGATGCCATTGTCCCTGAGCTGTGTGGCTATCTTGTCTTGGAGGACGTCGTCCAGCTCTGAAAGAGTGAGTTTCATAACGTTAGGCACAGTCGGATTATCATTGATAGAACTGTATGTGATTAATCATGATATAGTGGGGCGGAGTGGTCTATTGGTAGAGCGTTCGGTTATTCACCCGAACGTCACGAGTTCGGATCTCGGTCCGGACCCGATGCTGTGATACGTCCCTGAGTCCACACAATTCTGATGGGTAACTGATTAACGTTGGGGAAGGTAAAGGGAGTTTGGCATAGTGCTGACCACACTATCCCTTCATATGCCGAGGTAAAAAAATGTGAACTCTACTTCATCTGCCCTAAGGATCTTGTCGTCTGAAAAGGGAGATCTACTTTTTAAAAAAAAATCATGATATATCATAGCTTTAGTATCCGTCGAATTATCAACACTAGCAATATACTAGATAAATCATGACATTTAGATAAAGAATAATCTTTATTGCATTGCATCATGATACTTATTAGTGGTCCATACATGACTTGACACTCCCTTTGTCGGACATTGAGTGAAGATTGTGATCAGGAAGAGAGGTGTGATTTCTAGCATTTGCACAAATACTCATTGGAGCTGAATTTTAGCCATTGTTTCTAACTTTAAAGGAATTATTTTGTAAATTGTAAAACTGATTAACATTGACCGAGTTCAGCTAGTATTATAGTATATACAAATTTGGGCTAGGGTGAAGGTAGGCTGAAGTGTGACATCTTTATAATTTCTCGTGACATCATTTATTGATGACCCTTAAGTTATTTCCCTTCTTATAATATATAGCTTAGCAATACCCAGATATTCATGCAACGAGAAAAAAATAATGACTTTATCCCTTAGCTTTACGACGGTTTATATGTCTAGTGTTAGGGTTATAATTAGTTGGTAACAACGAATATGATAATCCACACACACTTTTTGAAAACTGTATTTTTAAACATTTGACTAGTAATGTTTTTGTATGTGCCTAGTAGAGGATTAGTATAGGCGTCAAGAGGCAAGGGCAAACGATGTATTGCATAGCTTAAAACGCACTAATCTTTTTAATGCAGAAGCACAGTAGGAAGTGATAGTAAAAGAAACAAAACAAACAACAATAAAAAAAACAGCAACAAACAAAATACGTTAAATAAAAACGGAAAACATCAGAGAGATAAACACATTCACTAAATTATATATTCAGTGGAGTCTTAACTAACTTTTGTGATACTTTATTTAGTCTTATTGTGAACTTTTTGTCTTCATTGTGTTCTCCGGTCATTTTACCGTCATCTTTTTAATGTTTCACGCTAATGTTTATCATATTATTACTGATCAATTTTTTTCAGTCATCAGTATAGTTAGTATGTTTCCAATACAATAGTTAAATCATATATTTTAAAATATACAGATAGAAATTACTCAAACTCTATTATACAAAGCATAACCTCGTGAGACGGATCATAGATACTATGCTTCCATAGTACTCGGCTAGAGTATAGTTAGTATGTTAGTATGTTTCCAATACAATAGTTAAATCATATATTTTAAAATATACAGATAGAAATTACTCAAACTCTATTATACAAAGCAAAACCTTGTGAAACGGATCATAGATACTATGCTTCTATAGTACCTAAGCTAGAGACCCGCAGAAGTAGGTGACTGCTATAATGTATTTCTTTTGTTTGGTCTTCGATTTCTTTTGTCGCCCCACCAACCCTCCATTCTCTCACTTAACCGGAATGTATTGATCCTCCAGTGACAGATAGCTGGGCTTAGGTACAGGGAACCTTCCCTACAATCGGATTAATACGTCTTAGGTTCTTATCGTACCCCACCTAGTATCTATGCGACTATTGCTGACCATTCTTTTATGTCGTATGCGGTGCGACAAATCTGACAGCAGGCAGTCAACCGATATACATATGGGACACAGAAACGGACGCGCAGATAGTTATTTCAGTGCCTAAGGCGGACTCTTGTTCAGACGTCCCCTTATATATATATATATATATATATATATATATATATATATATATATATATATATATATATATATATATATATATATATATATATATATATGTATATACATGTATATATATATATATATATATATATATATATATATATATATATATATTATATATATACATATTATATATATATACATAAAAGTTCAAATCAACTTAAATCATCTAACATACTATTAAAATTTTGCTCTGAGATATTTTGTCTGAGATCATTTGTCCATGATATCATTTGTCCTGATACATTTTGTCCTGGTACCTTTTGTCCGTGAGATCATTTTTCATGAGATCATTTGTCCTGAGATCATTTGTCCTGAGATTATATGTCCGTGAGATATTTTGTCTTGAGTTATTTTGTCTGAGATCTTTTGTCATGAGGTCATTTGTCATGGAACCATATGTATGTATACATATTATGTATATATACGAATTTATAAGATAAAACACTCTAAAACGAAAGGCTGACATGCCTGAAACCTATGCTTCTATTTACGCCACACTACGCAGAAAATGAAAACTGTATTCGAAGTATTTTAGTTTTGTTTGCCTCAGTCTATTAACGTCTATGGTTTTTATAGTGCAGCATGTAACATGACATTAACGTTAAGCCACTTCAGCTAGCAAAACACATTAAAGTCACCCTTGTTAGAATAAAATACTTAAAAAAAAACTTTTTAAAAAACCACGTTTTTCTTGTGGACTAAAAAGTAGAAAATAACTATTTACATACATTTGATGACAAAAAACGTGGGTACGTTCACCATCAAATTTCCCGACCCATCTGCCCGACCCACGTTTTTTGTCATCAAATGTATGTAAATAGTTATTTTCTACTTTTTAGTCCACAAGAAAAACGTGGTTTTTTAAAAAGTTTTTTTTTAAGTATTTTATTTTCTCCTTTTTAGTCCGTTGCTACACATGAAAAACGTGGTTTTTAAAAAAGTGTTTATAAATACACGGACTAAAAATCTTGAGCGACCAGGATTCGAACCTGGGTTGTCGCGGCCACAACGCGAAGTACTAACCACTATACGATCACGGCCAGCGCGCTCACATCGATTGGGGCCGAAGTAACTGTGTCAATAGGACTGCAGTCTTGTCGGTATCTTTAGAAATCATGTCCTCAATTTTATGGTCCTTGGGGCGTAATTAAATTAAGCTAATTACGGTCACTAATTGCTAGTTTTTATGATTGCATCTGAAATTGTTAGGCTAAAGTAGCATGCATGCCAAATTTCAGGTCTCTAGAGCAATCAGAAGTGGGCTAATTTTCGATGTCAATTTTAACAACAAACATCCAAACAAACAAACGCGAAGCTGAGTTAAGAAAAACGTTTTAAAATAACTATATGTAAAAGGAAAAGGGGAAATAATAATTTTTATTTAATTAAATGAATATTTAAACCGATTGAAATAAACTGCATGTTGAATGATATCTGTCGTATGTAGATATCTATGTGTATTAATAGACCTACAATAAATACATTTATTTTTCATTTTCTATCTAAACTGCAAGTATATTTTTTTTATTAACGCCGAATATAAGTAAATTATTACAGGGGAAATTTTAAAAAAAATGTACCGGAAGTTAAATAAAAGCTGCGATCTTTAAACCAATATTACAGATTTTTCTGAAGTAGGCCTAATTGTTTTAAATATTGTACACTAATGTGTACTTTTCTACTTACACTTACAGTCTTATTTCACCTTTCATAATCTACAGTCACATGTAGTCTCATTTCACCTTTTTGAAATTTAGTTATGTGTAGTCTACTGCATAGTCTTATTTCACTTTTTAGAAAATTAGTCATGCGAAGTCTACTGAGGTACAATCTGAATTCACCTTTCGTATCACCTACATAGTAACACAAAATATAGTCTACTCCTTACAGTTAAGTAATCTTAACTGTAATAAAAAGTCTACTGTAGTTAAAGAATCTGCACTGTAATATTTAGTCTACTGCTTACAGTTAAAGAATTTACACTGTAATATTTAGTCTACTGCTTACAGTTAAAGAATCTACACTGTAATATTTAGTCTACTGCTTACAGTTAAAGAATCTGCACTGTAATATTTAGTCTACTGCTTACAGTTAAAGAATCTGCACTGTAATATTTAGTCTACTGCTTACAGTTAAAGAATCTGCACTACTATAATATTTAGTCTTCTGCTTACAGTTGAAGAATCTACACTGTAATATTTAGTCTACTGCTTACAGTTAAAGAATCTACACTGTAATATTTAGTCTACTGTTTACACTTACACAATATCGTAATATCTCACGTCACTACAGTTAATACCACACCAACCTACCTGAGGTTTCATAATACTTTCTTCTAATACTGGGCACCTTTTTATCATCTTCCTTAACCTTCGACCTCTGTGTACGAGGCGGATCATCTTCATCTTTGTGTCTGTTTTTGTCCTCTTTGTTTTTATCCTTATCTTTCACCTTTACACGTTTATCGTCCTGGTTATCATTTTCCTCTCTGTGTCTATTCTTGTCCTCCTTGTGTTTATTATCTTTTACATTCTTATCACCCTGATCATCGTCATTGTGTTTGTTCTTTTCCTCTTTGTTTTTATCCTTTTCTTTCTTCTTCAATAGCTTATCGTCTTCGTCGTCGGCGTCGTAGTGAGCGACCTTACGACGAACCTCATCTTCGTAGTGGTCTTTGTCCTTTTTGTGGTGTTCCGTTTTATCCCCAGTCTCCATGGCCGTGTGTCCAGAGTTTGTGAGTACTCACTACACAGTAGTGGAGCGGCTTGACCAATACATAACTCACATAACGGACAAGCTTGTGATATCTCTTTCACAGAAATAAAACTCTGTTGTCAACCAACACAAAGCTGATAGTCCACTGTTATATTCTTAACCACGCTAAACAAATTCTAGATAAATAGTCCAGTGCTTAAGTAAACTACAGAAAAAATAACACAAACGCCTATGTCAGAACCGCTTCAACAAATAGCCCCAGCGTTGAGTTACACACAGTTT